TGAGAGAGAGAGAGAGAGAGAGAGAGAGAGAGAGAAGAGAGAAGAGAGAAGAGATAAAGAATGCTTAGGTGGTGTGAAAAACCAGAGGGAAATGTATCAGTTTAAAAGCCTACTCAAAATACACATGCAATATCTGTACATATGTATATGTGTATAGCTGAAGGCTATGTAACAGGAAACACAGTACCAAATAGGAGAAACCTTGGTCAGGGCAGTCCAAGAGTCTTCCAAAATAACACAGGCATTGCCACAGCCCTTGATTACCTCCCAGAACTTGAAGATAAGACCCTATTGCTCAAGATCAGACATACTTTGAACACCTTTTTTGTTTTTATTGTTGTTGTTGTTTTAATCAGGGTAATACTGGCTTCATAAAATGAGCTTGGGGCTGGGCATGGTGGTGTACACCTTTAGTCCCAGCACTCTGGAGGCAGACGAAGGCGGATCTCTGTGAGTTCAAGGCCAGCCTGGTCTACATAGTGAGTTCTAGGCCAGCTGAGGCTATAGGGAGACCCTGTATGAAAAAGACTGAAAAAAACAATGAGTTTGATACCATTCTTTTTCTTTCTGTTTTATGAAATAGTTTGAGGAACATCAGTGTTCTTAAAATCTGTGGTAGAATACAGCTGTGCAGCCAACTGGGCCTGAACTTTTTCAGCTGGGAGACTTTAGTACTGCTTCAGTATTACTGCTCTTTATGAACCTGTGTATGTTATTTGTATCCAAAATCAGGCCAGTTAGGTCTTACATGTCTAGGAATTGGGTATTTCTTTTAGATTTTCTAACTTACTGGAATATCATTTTTCAAAGTATGCCCTGATCATACTCTACATTTCATTGATATCTGTTACATTGGTTCCCCTTTCATCTCTAACTTTATTAATTTGGGGTTTTATACCCTTTCTTCTGGTTAGTTCACCAGGGTTTGTCAGCCTTGTTTATCTTTTCAAAGAACCAGCTCTTTGTTTCATTGATTTTTTTTTTTTGGTATTCTTTTCATTTCTAATTAATTTCTGCACTAACCCTTATTGTTTCTTTCCACCTACTGATTTCAGATTTGGCTTGTTCTTTTTTTCTTTTTTTCTTTCTTTCTTTTTGGCACACACACACCTTGTGTGTGTGTGTGTGTGTGTGTGTGTGTGTGTTTGGTTTGTTTTTAAGACCTAAGATGTATCATTAGATCCATGGGCTGCTGTGGAGAATGTGTATTCTGCAGTGATACAGAAGTCCTTTGATAGTTAATATTGTTAACCTTGATATTTCTTTGTCCTTTGTCTGGATGTTGGTGAGAGTGACTGCTCGAATCACCCACTGTTGTGTTGAGGTCACTTTTTACCTTTACATCTAATTGTGTTTGTGTTATGAAATTGGATGTGCCAGTGTTTCAGACATTTTATATATATATATATGTATAATGTATATATTATATATGCAATATATATTACATTATGTTTGTGTATGTGTGGGGAGGCAGTGTGTGTGAGTGCCCCAGTCTGGAGTTAGCAGGTGGTTGTGAGCGCCTGGGCATGGATGCTGGGAATTGAACTCAGGTCCTTTGCAAAAGTAGCAACCACTGTTAACCACTGAGTCATCTCTCCAGCCTTTGTGCATATATTTTTAGAAATATAGTATCTTCTTGATGGATTATTATGTTAATGTGTAATTTTTAAAAAAATTTGCTGCTTTTTAAAATAATTTTAATAATTTAGAAATTATCAGTTGTGGGCTAGTAGGAAAGGCCACTGTTGCTGTAGCTTTTCTTGTAGATCAATTTGTCATTATTGAAAGCCCATAAGCACCTTTCTTTAGATGACGCAACTCTGCCTCTAGCAGATTGATATAAGGAAATGACATGAGAGGCTCAGGCTCAGGAAGACAGGCACAATGTGATATTTGTCATAGCACGACTCATAAACCGAAAGTACAGGGGTAGCATTAAATGTACAAGGGGAGGGGAGCTAACAGTATGTAAACCAAAACAACATGCTGTTGCATGTGATGTCATAGGGAAAGTGTTCACATAGCACTAAAATTTTAAAAGCCACTTGTGACATCACATAATCAGGGTTACTATGTAGAGTATTTCTTGTAAATGAACAATTTAAGGATGAATGAAGGAATTAAATGTATTTAAAGTAAATAAATAATAATGATGACTGACAATGGCTTTATTTGATTGCATCTACTGTGACATAGTTCCACATAAAATATTTTCCAAACTAAAAATATTTCTGAATAGTTAAAGAAATACAAGTTTATCAGAGTTTGAAATTACTAATATCTCCACTTGCTTCTTACCTGATTTTTTTTCAATATTTTATTTTTATTATTTTTATTTTTTTATGTGTATGAGTATATTGCCTGCAATCATGTGGGTGCACCTGTGTCGTGCAGTGCCACAGAGGTCAGAAGAGGGCTTCGGATTCCCCTGGAATTGGAGTTAAGGATGGTTCGTAGCCACCATGTGGATGCTGGGAATCGAACCCGGGTCCTCTGCAAGACCAATCAGTGCTCTTAACCGCTGAGTCATCTCTCCAGCCCCATCTCTTACCTGATTTTTAAAAATTGCATGACATGGGTGCACTCACATACATGCAGGCAATACACTCATACACATGGAATAAAAATAATAAATAAAATAGCTTTTAAAAAATATTCCATATATAGTTTGGCTTAGAGCAAAGTCTGTTTAAATGTAGCATATCCCACTTCTAACATTTTGCATATTATAATGTATAAATATTTCAGACCATGATTTTTTCATAATACAGATATATCTAAAAGTTGAAGCTCCATCAAATAATTATTTCTATTAGTTGAGGTTTTCTGTAAACTTGTATATTCAGTGCTTTTATTTAGTACATTTTTTTTGGTTTTTGTTGAGATAAATTTCAACGTCATTTATTTGCAAGCTTTGTTCTTAATAATTGCAATTCACTAGATAGAAGCTTTATTCTTTGAACATGTAAAGATTTCCTTTGAACTTTGAACAAAATACAACCCAAAATGTAAGTAATTCATTATCAACTCAAATAATTGTAGGTTCCTTATTTTACTGTTTAATCATCAAAAGTTCATCAAGCATTTCTAACATCCTGTCACTAGTATTTAGCTAGGTGAGAAGTCATGTGTTTTGATTGTTTTGTGTGCTGGTATTCACACATTTCTGTTACTCAGATTCTTTGCATATGTGTGTGTGTGTGTGTGTGTGTGTGTGTAATCTGTACCTTTGATCACTTTGAAAAGCATAGCATTTGTAGGGAAATGATGATTGAGTTAGTTTGGGGCAACTCATCATCTTTTTCAGTTGAAATTTTGTCTGTCTTCAGTTTTCTTTGGCATTTTCTTATTTTTCTGAGTTAGAATACATGTAGGTGACAAATTTTATATTTTAGGAAGTTGTCTATGAAATAAAAAACGGAAAAACTTGTTTAGAATTTAGTGTTTTGAGCAGTGAAAAGCACTTGAATATACTGTGAATGAGGTTTTCTTCTGTTACTTTTGCCTGGTATGCTTTTATATGGTAAATGGTGTACTTCCTAGGCTTTGTTACTGTATCCGACTGAAGTACAATCCATGTGCCAGGCTGAAATCTAGCTAATCTCTGTAAACGATATGCTTTATTCCTAAAGTAGATGCTGTATTCCTAAACTTTCTGTGGCCTTCTAGTACACTAAAATAAAATTTCTGAAATTTTATTGTCACTGACAGCATCCTTGCATAGTTTGGGTTCTGCCTAGCTTGCTAATTTCATCCTCTTATCATTGACTTTCTGAACTCTAGTCACAACCAGCCCTTTTCTTTTCCCTCTGGGCCATTGTATTTATTATTTCTCGATTGGGAATTCTCTGCCTAGAGTTCTGTTCATCAGAGACTCCCCCCCAATCAGGTCTCAGCTGAAATTGCATCATTTCTGAAACACTTTCTGATTGTAATACAGAAAAAGCCTTTCTTCTAATGTGCTTCCAGCCTTAGTATTCAGTATTCTATTATTTGACTTGTTTTTCTTAATAATGGGTTTCAGTATTTCAGTGATCTTATGTATTAAGAGAGTAGGAGTACTGTATGTCGAGTTTATTAATGTCTGTCCCACAGTAAAGCAAGTGCTGTCTGAGAAATGAATGACTATCTTCTATAGTTCCTATATCCATATTCCTTTTTCGATTCTCCCATTTAGCTGTAAAAAAATCTGCTAGTGGTATTTGCCTCCAATAATTTCAGTGACAAAAAATAATTGCATTGTATAATGAAGGAACTTTAAAAGGCAGTGCTCTGTATGTTCCGTTGTAGATTTCAGTATACTTTCAACCCAGATCAATAAAGTATAGCATATTAAGTTAAGACTGTACAAGATCAGAGTAATTAATATACAGGTGAATAAGAGACTTGTTAATAACATGGAATTCTCTACAGCTATTTTAAAAAAGACATGGATAAGCTGCTACATGTGCACTAATAGGGAAAGACTAATAAGGTGCATTACAAGAATGCAGTGCTGGAGTCAGAGCAGTTAGTGAAGTCTGCTTATGATTTGCTTAGAAAAGGTGGGAAATAAGCCAGGGGTGGTGGCACATGCCTTTAGTCCCAGAACTAAAGAGCACTGCAGAGGCAGGCGATCTCAGAGTTCAAGGCCAGCCTGGACTGCATAGTGAGTTCCAGGCCAGCTGAGGCTCTAGGGAGACCCTGTCTCAAAAAGACATTTAAAAAAAGATCTGAATGTGTAAAAAATAATGAAAGTGTTTAAGGATCTGGGTAATGTAAAGAGTGTGTGTGTGTGTGTGTGTGTGTGTGTGTGTGTGTGTGTGTGTATAATGAACTTTTTATGTTGTCTTGATTTTAAAACATGACTATTACCTATTCATATTTTTAATAAACAAAAATTAAGGTATAAGCTGTTGTGTTAGATGTAATAATTTCTAAGATCTGTTTAAAATGTGTTCATTAAAAAATGTTTTGGTCTTTCCCTAATCCCACTTCCTTTTATCTATCTTTTCATTCAGTGGAGTGGGACGTAACTGGGGCTGGGCATCAGCAGGGAGCAGCATTCTGGCTGAATTTGGCACACTACATATGGAGTTTGTCCACCTCAGCTATTTGACAGGGAACCCGGTTTACTACGGAAAGGTTGGTTTTCTGTTTTTTCTTTATTATAAAAGAGTTCTCTAACATTTGCCAAAATACCTTAATGTTTAATATGTTTATTAGGGCTTTGGCTTTTATTGTATTTTTCTCTCTCTTAGTTATTTTTTTTTAGACCGTATTTAAAATACTAGCGTTCTGAACTCCCTAGCCAGGATTCTAAGACAAGAAAAACAAAGTGAACAAAAGGCTAATGATTTAAATGGAAGAGAGGAACTGATTTTATTCAGAGTACATGATTAATCTACTGAATATTTAAAGGCATTCTATAGGGATTTTCGTGTGTGTGTGGGGGGGGGGTGTTCCAGGTTTTCTTTTTCTTTTTGGAGCGGTGGATCCTAACCCAGGGCCTTGCACATGCTAAGCATGGACTCTACCATTGAGCTATACCCCATAACCCTGATCGTTTACATCTAAGTGAGTAGTGTGAATGCTAAACACAGCTCTCACCTCAAAGGGAATAAGAAGTAGTTTATTCTGGAGCCAAATATGACAGCCTTTGCCTGGGAACACAGATTTCAGTTACCCCTATTCTAACACAGTGGCAGTTTCATGAAATTTTTATAGTTATAGAACAAAATAAAGATATGTTGAGACATATTTTAAGATATAGTGGTGGAAGTATCAGGTAGGCAAGTTATAGCAAAGCAGGAAAATGTTTAGGCCTACATGCTGTTTTTAGCATTCTTAGTCTTGGGGCTGGTAGGAACTAGGGATCTGTTAATATGTTTCAAGAAGCTTTACTGAATAGTCACAAGGATGGCTATTCAGAGGCCTAATATACCCCATGATGATTTAGCTCTGAACCCAGAACATTCCAGCAGTCCATAATCATGGCTATTTAGTCAGTTATAACCTTTTTTTTTTTTTTTTTTTTTTTTTTTTTCTGGAAACTTAAGATCAAACTAAGAATTAAAAACTTGATTTTTTTTGTATAAAATATCAAAATCCTTACCATTTGTCTATACCAATTGCAGAAGGTAAGGAAGTATAATTTTATAAAAAGATATCTTATGAGGTAGGAGTAAAAAGTTTATTTTCACTACAAATTAGAAATCTAGTAAGTTCACAATATTATTAAATAGCATTAAAGAGACCTCTGTAAATGAGAATAAGACAAAGACTGACAGCAAATATTTCTTGGGGTTAGAAGTGTTGCTAAGAAGCTAGGAAAATACAACTGGATGAAGGATCCCACAGGGCAAGTTAGATTTGTTTGCAAACTTCAGTGAGGGAAGGAGTGACCAATCCTCTACCATGAGCAGTCTTGGTTGTCCAGGGAGAAGCAAAGGTAGAAAACCATGCTAACGTTTGAATTTTACCTAAAATCTTTTTGTCAAGTTTCTTATGCATAGCTAGGTCAGGAAAACTAATAATGAGAGTGAGTATGATGGTGCTGGCCTGTATTCCTAGCATTCAGGAGGCAAGGCAAGAAGATTGATTCAAGTTCGAGTTTGAGGCCAGCGTAGAGTATATAGTAAGACCGTATCTCAAACCAGCTAACAAAGAACATCAACAACAACCAAAAGGGGATGGGGGGGGGAGAGAGAGAGAGAGAGAGAGAGAGAGAGAGAGAGAGAGAGAGAGAGAGAGAGAGAAGGAACACATAGAGATTTATCAGAGAAGGACCACAAAATGTGACCAAAAAAATAAAAATAAAACTTACCAGAAAAAAATCCAAAATCTTCACCAAGTATCACCATAAGAAAGAGCATGGACTGTCATCTGTGTGGAGTAAGAATATAAGCAGAGATACTAAGTGCTCAGAGAATAAGATGTGATACCAGTAACAAAGCAAGAAGAAAAAATTACCCCCAGAGTGGAAGCAACATAAAGAATATGGGACTCAAAAGGTAGTAAGGGACTAGAAGACAAAATGAGAAAGGTGACTAAAGATATTCTAAAATCCCTTAAAGTAAGAAAGGAAATGATACAGATGAGAAGCACAGAGAATTATGTATTATGCGTAATTTTCAGATGGTAAAAAGCTGTTTCTCATCTTTCCTAATGTCTTTTAAGTGTCTAAAAGTGATGTATGGAGTTACATTACAGTTGTGCATAGTGGCCTCAAATGTGAAAGAACACTGGGACTATAGAGAGCATCCTGTTCCCAAAACACAGTGATAAAACCCAGTCAAAGAAAAGATGATGAGACTCACTGTGGTAAAATTGTGTGCCCGTGTCGAGAAAGGTGAAATGGGCACAGTCCTGTGAAAAAGAAGGTATACGCCAAGTCATTATACCACCTAGTTTATCAGATGTGTGGATAGCATGGCTATGTTACTTATTCAAAATTTGAATGATGAAAGATTTAGATAGAAGTAACTATTCTCAAACAAACACAAATACAAGAAATAGAGTGCCATTACTGCTGCTCTGCCCCCTTCTGAAAGCACGTACAAAACTGGACTGATCTACAGACCAATCAGACTAAGTCCTTATGAAAATCCAGCCTCTTAATATATATTTTGTGATGTTCGCTATTTGGTGTGTGGGGGTTTTTTTTTGTTTTTTTAAGACAAGGTCTCCCTGTAGGTCCAGCAGGCTTGGAACTTACCATGTAGACTAGGGTGGCCTCTATCTCAAAGGTCTACTTGCTGAGTGCTGGGATTAAAGGTGTTCACCTGTTCACCACCACATCTGGCTTGCAACCCCCCCGTTAACCTCAGGGAAATCTTTTGAAAATTTATGGGAATGTATAACTGGGAGGATATTTAAAGCCCTGGTTTGTTTTTTATATCATATATTTATTCATTTATTAAATTCTAGCTAACGCTTTTCATAGACAGTTTTGAGTTCATGTCTATGAAATTACTTCTATTCTTATATTTGAATATACATTGGATATATCGGAATGATATTTATGGCTGATGTTTCTGATGGTTATTTCTGCATAATAGACTGTTAGAGTTTAAATTATTCCTGAACTTCTTTATATTACTTTTGAAAGAATGTCATCTAGTAAAACTAATGAATCATTCAAGAAGTAGAAGCCCTATGATAGTAGACTATTATACATGAAAAGGTAGAAGATGGGTGTAGGTTCTGAGTGAGAGAACACCCACAAAGCCTAGACCAATAGAAAGCCTTGATGACACTTAGTTTTGTTAATTTCATTCTTAATTTCATTTTGATTAGGTCATGCATATTCGGAAACTCCTTCAGAAAATGGAACGTCCAAATGGTCTTTATCCAAATTATTTAAATCCAAGAACAGGGCGCTGGGGTCAGTGTAAGTATTTCTAGTACAATTGATGCCTCGTTAAGATTATTTGAAATGCTTGGAAGCCCTCAGTGTGGGCCTAACCCTGCTAGTCATCTACTAATGCTGTTACCATCCATCCATCATTTTCCAGTGTCTCGTAGTTTCAGTTTTTCTGTTTGTAAAATGGAGCCATTAATAGCCTGTCTCATAAGAATATTTTCTTTTATATATGTGGAAATACTTGCTAAAATGTGATTTGACAGTTTGAGGGACTATACGTAGAAATTAATCATATCCTCATGTCAATCAGAACACTGCTTGGGATAAGGGGTATATGAGGAGTCCAGAACAGAAATGACTTTATTAAATGAGAGGCGGGCAGATCGCCATGAGTTCCAGGCCACCCTGATCTACATAGTGAGCTCCAGGCCATTCAGCTAGGGCTGCATAGTGAGACCCTAGAGAGGAGAGACAGAGAGGGATGGGAGGTGGGGTGATGGGGGGCGGAGGCCAGAGAACAAATGAATGATACTATATGAGATTAAAGATGGTGAAAGAGTTAGGGTTTGGTATGAATTTAGGGAGCTCCCAGGCCAGCACGGTAGGTACACACAGGGTAGGTAGACTAAGTGGCTGCTATATAATGTGGTAAATGTTGCATAGAGGAATGTACTAGTTAACAATGGAGCTGGCAGAAATGCTTGCTTTGCCTGATGGGAAAACGTTTTCTTCAGGGAGGCTAATTTTTATTCTGAGAGATTTAGAATTCATCTTTGAAGAAATTGATTCTTAAATAGTAAATGTTCCTGTGGAAATGCAAACTTGAAACTTTAGTAATCAGGGTTTTGCAAATGCTATTCTGTTTTAAAAGCTAGAGAAACTGAAATAAGTAGAAGTATCTACTTTGTCTCCAATTAGACGTAGTTTGGTTATTTTTGAAACTAACAAAAAAGTACAATGAATAAGAGACAAAAGTAATAATTATTTGATTTTATGTAATGAAAGCAGTGCTAAATCTGCCAGTGAGAGCCGGGCCAGCCCAAGGACCTGAGCTGGGTGATGTTTGCCATGGCCCAGCTCAGAAGCTCCTTTTCAGGAAATTGCCACGTGCTCTTGTTTATGGAAGGAGAGCCGGTTGATCCCTATAGTTATTCTTGCGTAGACTAGATCTCAGTCTTAACTTTCCTTATACACTTTTCCTCTTTCCATAAATTCTTTATAAGCAGCTCACTTTTCTCTTTCTTTTGAAGAAAATGTAAGTTTTGATGCTTAGACTGAATGGAAAGATTTTTCTGAAAAATGAAAAATTTGAGAGCTGCATTTCTACAACATAAAAATATAGTTTTCTTGTGCCATAGATGTGTGACTGGATTAGATGAATCTAATTGTAAAATTTTACTTTAATGTTGAATTAAGATTTGGAAATTCTAACATTGTGGGAAAGTTGTGTTCAGTTTCTACCTTATCCTATATGGCATAGCTATTTGTGTCCAAGATGAAAAATGTAAAAATCTATAAAAACAAATGAATTGTATTATACTTTCTAGTAAGTATATCAAATAGAGCAGAATCATAAAAGTGTCATTTTATTTTTTTACTATGTATAAATGTTAACCTACATTTAATAACAAAAGAGATTTCACACTAAGTATATATGAACGTATTTGGAAAGTAGTTTTTATTTCCTTTCCTATATTATGACCTCTTACAGTATCATAAGAAAAAGAGGATCACTCAAAGAATGTTGGGGGTAAGAAAAGTTAATTCATTCACAACAGCAAAACACAGATGAACGGCAAGCAAAAATTCCTCTTTAGCCCTAAGGTTGTTAGTGAAATGAGTGGCACTCGCAGACTCCATCCTGAGGCATTCTTTTCAGTGCAGACTACCATTGCTATACTAGTATCTGTGAAGATGTTGGGTTTGTGTCATCTCTGTGTGCCACTCCCCAGAGACCTTTGTCTTTCCTATTTCCTCATCTCTGTGATCAGATCAGTGGAGCTTTTAAGCAGAGACACAGTTCGTTGACTATTAGATTGATAAAGCAAATTGCAATCTCCATGTACCCAGTATGAAGCATGAATATTTTTATGGATTCTGAATCTGGCAGCTTGTTTCCTGGAGTTTATTCTGAGGAAACTTGAGAGCTATAAAGTAGTAACCTAGGAAGTATTTGTAATCGAGATAATTTTGGAACATTCTGGAGTTCTCCTCCAGCTGAACTTTGTATTAATGGACGTAATATGTAGTCAACAGCCATACCACGTGACATGCAGCTGTTGAGCTCTTGAATGTTACTAGTATATTTAGGGAACTACATTTAAAATTTTATTTATTAATTAATTTAAAATTTAAATAGTATTCTGGCTGTAATGTACTGCCATTGAACAGTTCATGTTTTGAAAATTCTATAATACATATCTGGTTTAATACAGATTATGGCCCCTGCAGTTGTGTTATACTGTACATCCTTTGGAACATGACATAGATAAATATGACAGATCCAGAAAGATACTCTGAAGGTGGGGAGATCTACTTTAAGATTGAAAACTAAGACTGGAGAGATGGCTTAGGTTAAGAGTACATGCTGCTCTTGCAAAGGGATCCAAGTTCAATTCCCAACACCCACGTTATTTTCTTTTTAATTACCTTAATACTCAAATTTGATAGTGAACATTATTTCTTTAGAAATATATTTTTATTCTTTGAGAATTTCTCACAGAGTATTTTGATCATATCCTCCCTGCCCCAGTCCCTCCCAGATCCACCCTCACCTCCCTACCCCAAAATGTTCTCCTCACTCCACATTTAGTTCAACTTGTGTTGCTCACTCAGGTGTGGAACTTGCCCTGAAGTGTGGTGAATCTACCAGAAGTCACATCCTTAAAGACAACTTACTCTTCCTCTCCTAGCAGCTATCAAATGCCAGTAGCTCCTCAGCTAGGGCTGAGACTTCGTACCACCTCCCCCTCCATACTGAGATTTTTTCTGGTTTGGACTTGAGCAGGTCTTGTGCATGCTGTCACAATTGCTGAGTGTTCATACACAGCTCCTGTGTGTCTTTGTAGTCAGTCACCTAACATTCCAGCTTTTAGAATCTTTCCATTCCATCCTCAAAGATTCCCCTGAGCCTTGGGGGAGAGGACTGTGCTCATTCAGTGCTGAGCACTTCGGAGTCTCTTATTCTCTGCCTGTTAACCAGTTGTGAGTTTCTGTGTTAAATGCTTCCTACTGCAAGAAGCAGCTTCTCTGATGAGGGCTGAGAGATGCATTAATCTGTGGGTATAGCATTAAGTCATTAGCAGTCATTTTAATACTGTGTTTGTTTAGTAGAATATTAGTAGTGGGCTCTTCCCTACAGCCTATGACCTATCTAGGCACAGGTTCTTGGCCCTAATAACAGTGTCAGGTAAGGATTCTATAGTGTGGAGCAGGTCTTAAATCCATTCAGAGCTCATCCTAGCAAATAAAAATCCCAGTGTCAGAAATTAGTTACCTCATTTTGAATTGTTAGCCAATGGGGTCTCACAGACCTCAAACAATAGACTATTGCCTTTACTCTTGATTACTTGTCAGAGCTTGACACTAAGACTCTATTGCTGACACATATTTAAGTCATAGAACATGGAGAAATCAAGCTGGTACTGACCTGGAAGCTTCATCCCTACTGGCTGGCTTTCATAGTGCTGGAAGGTGCTATGGGTAGTACTATAGTAGAAAAGTAATCGTTAGTCTTTCTCAGCTGTTAACCCTGTGAGTTACAATAACAGTATTACTTCAGAAGAAAAATAAACATTTAAAAGTAAAAAATCAGGATGTCCTCTTCCACAACAAAGTCTTTGTAGATGCTGAAAAAAAAAAGTCAGAATTTGAGACTTACTAGTCTCTAAATGACCAACAGTACAGTACTGATGCATCTTAATTTTAAAAGCCACTTTTCCTTTGGAAAGCAGCTGTACTCACTAACCAGCAATACTTTTTCTTTTTTTTTTTTTTTTTTTGATGAATGCTGAAGAGAAAACTTGATAACCACTTGGAGAAGAGTGAAGATGAACTCCCAACTTATACCATCTACAAAATTATTTCAAAGTGGGTTAAAAAGAAAAGCAAATTTAAGAGTCTGAACTATAAAGCTCTTAGAAAACATCTAGGGACAATTGATTATTCAATATGACATCAAAGTCTAGATGACAATAGAAAAAAAGTAAATTGGATTTTATTTATTTATTTTTATTTTTTGAGACAGGGTCTCCCTATAGCTCCAGCTAACCTGAAACTCAGTATGTAGACCAGGCTGGCCTCAAACTCACAGAGATCTGCCTGCCTCTGCCTCCCAAGTGCTGGGATTAAAGGCATGCGCACCATAAAATTTTTATATCAAAGGACACCCTGCATCAAAGAAGACTGAGGTGAGAGTTAAAGATAGCCCACCAAACAAAAGCATTTGCAAGTCACATATCGGATGAGGGCATGTTTCCACAATGTGTAAAGAAATCCTATAGCACAAGAAAACAACATAACTGAAAAAATGCACAAATGATCTGAATAGTTAATTTCTCTCAAAAAATCATGCAAATGGGAAATAAGCAAATGAAAAAAAAATGTTCAGTGTCAATTTGGAAATAAAAGGAAAACCACGGTGAGACACCTACCACTTCACAGCACAACAAAGGATGTAACCCAAAGACCAGAGTAAGCCTTGGCCAGAATGTGGAGAAATTAGAACATTTGTAATTGATGGTGGAACTTTGCAGCCAGGATGAAACTGGCAGTTTTCAAAACGGTAAACACAGAATTACCATATGAACAGCAGCCGAATGGATGGAAAACCAGCTCTGAAGCTTGCATGCCAGCATTCACCTTGGCGGTGGTGTTCACAGTAGCCAAGAGCTGGAAGTGGTCTGCTTCAGATGTAGTTTGTGCTGAGGCTCTGTGTCAGGGGTGACAGCAGTGAGTCAGTGGGGTCATTAGGATGTGAGGGGCTGTCACAGGTCGTTAGGTCATTGGAGCCCTGCTCCCAGAATGAT